AATCTTTACGGGAGTAGAAAGCCTCATCTTTCTCCCGCGGAGCAGCTGGTAGTTTCGAACCGCTGACCTTAAGGTTCGCAGCCCGATTCGTAACCACTAAGCCACCAGAGCTCCTTAGTGACCTTTTTATAGGGTTTCTGAGGAGCTTGAGCAGTCTGTTGCTTATCCTACAGCACTGTACCAGGACCCTGGTCTTCAATGTGGTCATATGGATATTATTCTATCACTGACAGCATTATACTTCAAAATAGTTCTTGAAATGCTCTTTTTGAGGATGAATACGACACTATTCTCCTTTAATTTGTCTTTCCTGGTGTAGTAGACCGTGTAACTGTCCGATTCAAAATGACCAATACCAAGTCTACTTCAGCTCACTAACGCTCAGGATATCAACCTTTATGCATTCCATTTCATTTTGGTGACTTCAAACTTTGCACATTCCATGTTCTGATTATTAATGAATCTTTGCATCTGTTTCTCCTCATTTTGAGTTGTGCCCCATCAGCAAATGAAGGTCCTAGAAGTTTCGCTCCATTCATGTCATAACATAACTGTTGTTTTGTTTGTGTCTACTGTTGTCACCACTGTGTAAATCATCTTGTTGGGTATCTTCCTCTTTGTGGCTGATACTCCACTTTAACCAAGCATGATGTCCTTCTCCAGGAACCAATCCTGCCTGACAACATGTCCAAAGGATGAGAGATGGGGTCTCATCATCCTCACTTTCAAGGAATATTCTGGCTGGACTTCTTCCTAGACATTTGTTTTTGCTTCTTACAATCCATGGTACTTTCAATATTCTTCACCAACACCATAACTGAATTGCATTGATTCTTCTATGGCCTTCCTTACTCATTGACCAACTTTCACATGCATATGAGGCGATTGAATTAATACCTCATATGGTCAACTCTGCTTTGAGGAGGTAGCTCTTTCCCAGTCATATTTTGAGCACCTTCCAACCTGAGAGGCTCATTTTCTGGCAAACTATCTGACAATGTTCACTGATATAAGAGTTTCAGTGGCTAACCGTTTAGAAGTGTTCTACCTCTTCTTCTTCCTAGTCTGTCTTGTCTGGATGCGCCACAGAAACTTGTCCACTGTGGGTAAACTTGTCCACTGTTGGTATTTAAAATACTAGTGGCAGAGTTTCCAGCATTACAGCCACACACAACCCACCGTAGTATGACAAACTGACAGCCAGTAAGATAAAGGAATCTTGCTATATGCTGCAACGTGGACGGAGCTTGAATACAAGCTTACTGAGTGAAATAAGTCAATCACAAAAGGGCAAATATTATATGATCTCACTTCTATAAACAGACAAGAAGAGTAAAAAGTGCCGAGTCCACAGTTTATCAGTGGTTACCAGGAGTAGGAGTGGGGGGGGGGGGGAATGGGAGGGGCTTATTGTTTCTGGAATGCTGATTGGAACCTTAGGGGTAGTGAGTGAATATTAATGGGGGAGGAACAACTTGAAAAAGGAGGGTGAAGAATGCAGTCACTGTCACTGATTTGCATATGTAGACATTGTTTAATTGATGTATATTCTGCTGTGTATATTCTCAAAACAACAACAAAAATACTGAGCACCCACTATGCAACAACACAAAGTGAACAAAACCAACAGAAACCTTGGTTCTTGAAAGGGTAACGTTCTGTCAGTGGAGAGAGTCGACGTGATACCACATAGTCATGAGTGCTCTGAATAAACTCAATGCAAGTTTAATAGAGACCTACAGGGAACAGGGGAGGAGCTGGCATGGATGAGGGATCAGGGTCGGCTCTCTGCGGTCATCCTGGAGAAAGCCCTGAACTCCCAGATGGGCAACATCAAAGCAGAGAAGATGTTGAAGCTGTCTCTCTTAACGACCAGCTTTGTTCTTCTCCCAGACACGATACAGGACATAAAGTGGGACTCCATTTTATTCCCCCTGCCAGTTCTGTCTGCTTTCCAGTGTTTTCCAATCACCAAACCCTAGATAATAAATGACAAGGCCATCTACATTGAATGTGAGGTTCTGGGTCATAGATGCAAGACTTGGAAGGAAGGCAACCAATATTTAATTTAGTGACTTGGTGGTATAAAGCTATGTAGGGTTCACAACCATAAATCTTTACAGAAATCGAAAACCTTATCTTTCTCCTGAGGAGCTCCCGGTGGGTTTGAACTACTGACCTTGCAGTTAGCAGTCCAGTGCTTATCCTACAGTGCCACCAGCTCCCTTAGAGATTTCAAGACCCTGCCTTCAATGGCCTATACAGCAATTGAACCCCAAACCCTGGTGTTAGTAGCACCGTGATCTAGTCAACTGAGCTGACTGGCTCCCTATAAAGGTAGGAAATGAGAGAAGTTCTTTGGAGGAAGTTACTGGTGTGCTAAGAATCCCATTTCCTATCACCATAGTTCCCTTCCCCTAGGTAAAGGGATGATACGTTCCACCTGAAACCTAGTACGTAAGAGGGGCTTTCAGGAGACCACTCAAAGAAACGTATGTAGGTCTGGTGACGGACACACATACCTACGAAAATTGAAGTGGAGAGGCTGTGATTGCCTGTCTGAGGCAGCAGAGGTAGACAGACAGACAGACAGACACATAGACAGACACACAGGCAGACAGACACACAGTGGAGACAGACAGAGAACTTTCCTTCTCGTGAAGCAGGCCCAAGATGGGTCACCCCTGAGAGTGAGCCAGTCTGGAGCTGCTTAAGTCTTCCAGGTCTCACTAGAAGGATGAAGTAACCCCAATAGTGAGATGGATGGCGGGGTTCCCAGGGGCTGAGGGAAGAGAGCTAAAGGGAGGAAAACATATGCCCCATGCCTGAGTGATGCCCAGTATCCCTACACAAGTGCCTAGGAAAGAGTTGGCTTCAACACCTAAAACCAAACTCACTACTAGTGAATTACTTTTGACTCATAGTGACCCTATATGGATTTCTGAGTCTGAAAACCTTTATGGGAGCAAATAGTCTCATCTTTCTACCAAGGAGTGGCTGGTGGGTTTGAACCTTGCAGTTAGCAATCCAGTGCTTACTCTACAGCACCACCAGGGCTCTTTGCTTCAACACCCCACAGCTCCAAAGGAGACAACGTGAAGGCCACGGCCCCATGACTCTAGCACCTCCCCTCCTTCGCCCTCCTGCCAACAGTGATGGAGCAGAAACCACCACCATCCGCTGGAAGGGGAAGGAAGAGTACAGGCCAGGAAAGAGGAGCCATTGCCTCACCAAAGACTGCACGCTGGGGAGGGGAAGAGCTTTACCTTGATCCCACGTGTTAATTGTAGGTTGAGGTGATTTCGGTGACTAATGAAACAGGAGCATTTTTAGTTTTGCAGGAAGGAGCCAGTAAGGCACTGGGTCTGCCCACCATCTCATCCAGGGGTAAGAAAGAATGAGCCCCCAGAATGGGACATGGCAGGCAGTCAGTGGGTGAGGGGGGCAGACAACTGTACTCAGTTGTACCCATGAGCCTTGTTCCTTCAAAGTACTGTTTGCACATTCACTGCCCTACCCGGAGGGACAACAAACCAACCAACCAGAAACAGATTCCTACTCACTTCTAGGCTGAGATGCCCCATTAGCTGCTCATCCAGCCTGCTATTGCCTCGGCTAATGGCCCTACATCCGTCCTCATATTTCTCTCTCCCTTCCGGCTCATTGCCCATCTTGGGCACCCTTACTCAGCTAAGTGAGGGGACTCCAGAACCTCAGAGACATCTGGAAACACCAAAGGTGAGTCCTTCTTTCTGTTGCTCCTCTGTTCACAAAGGATTGCTCCTCCAACCCCCCAATCACACTATCCAGGGTGCCATGAAGTTGGCTAAGCTCTTTTCCCAAGACACTGATGGGACAACCTAGCTTGCCCTTGGGTTTTCCCTTGAATAACCCTTCTATCTGCCCCTCACCATGACCCCCATCTCATCCAGACCCCCAACTTCTCCTCCCGTCAGCGGGGAGCCACCACTAGCCCTTAATCATGGGCTGTGCATGTTCTCCACATTTGGGGGAGGTAGGCAGGGGATGGATGCAGGAGTCTAACTTCCATTCCAAAGAGAAACAGACTATCAGGCTGGACTTTGTTCTGCCTTCTCTTTCCTATTCTCCCCAGAGCCTCAGAAATCCAGAGGTCCCTTCCATAGGACCTGCACACCAGTATTCTTACACTGCAGTGGCTTTCTTCATTGCAAGAGGTGATATGGTGGGAAAACAGCAAAGGGTTGAGGGCTAGAGGCCCTCGCTTCCAACCCAGGCTAGTTTGCTGATTGCCTGTCACTTCCCTCTAAATCAAATCGGTTTAAGCCAAAGCCATGGAGTTGACTTCCACTCATAGGACTTCCGAGGCTATAAATCTTTACTGGAGCAGAAAGCCTCATCTTTCTCCCACAGAGTAGCCGGAGGGCTTGAATTGCAGACCTTGTAACCACAGCCCTACGGAGCCACCAGGATACTTTGGGGTACCTCAGGGATGAAGAGAGAGAGGAAGGTGACCTAAGGGGCCTCCATTTCTGCAGCTACCTAACTACAAGGCTTCTAATACTTCAAGCAGCACTAAAACCATTTGTAATTGCAGGAACTCCTCTGCTGTGAGATCCGAGTGCTGTGAGACCCGAGGACACGGAACAAGTTGAGCACAGGAGCTGGGGAGACCAGCATTCTGGGCCCATGGACCTGCCTCCACAGCTCTCCTTCGCGCTCTATGTGGCCGCCTTTGTGCTGGGCTTCCCACTCAACGTGCTGGTTATCCGAGGTGCTGCGTCCCACGCTCGGCTACGACTTACCCCCAGCCTTGTCTACGCTCTCCACCTGGGCTGCTCTGACCTCTTGCTGGCCGTCTCTCTGCCCTTGAAAGCCGTGGAGGCTCTGGCCTCTGGGGCCTGGCCTCTGCCAGTCTCCCTCTGTCCTGCTTTTGCCCTCGTCCACTTTGCTCCCCTCTATGCAGGCGGAGGTTTCCTGACTGCCCTGAGTGTCGGCCGTTACCTGGGAGCAGCCTTCCCTTTGGGCTATCAAGCCATCCGGAGGCCATGCTACTCCAGGGGTGTGTGTGTGGCTATATGGGCCATTGTCCTCTGTCACCTGGGACTGGTCTTTGGGTTAGAGGCTCCAGGAGGCTGGATGGACAATACCACCAGCTCCCTGGGCATCAGCATGCCAGTCAACGGCTCTCCAGTCTGCCTGGAGGAATGGGACCCGGCCTCAGCTGGCCCTGCCCGCCTCAGTCTCTCCCTCTTGCTCTTCTTCCTGCCGTTGATCATCACAGCCTTCTGCTACATTGGCTGCCTCCGGGCACTGGCCCAGTCTGGTCTGAGCCACAGAAAGAAGGTGAAGGCAGCCTGGGTGGCCGGGGGCGCTCTGCTCACCCTGCTGTTCTGCCTAGGGCCCTACAATGCCTCCAACGTGGCTGGCTTCCTGCAGCCCAACATGGGAAGAGGCTGGAGGAAGCTGGGACTCATCACAGGTGCCTGGAGCGTCGTGCTCAACCCGCTGGTGACCAGTTACTTGGGAGGAGGAAGTGGCCACTGGATAGTATGTGTGGCAAAAATGCAAGAGATGACATCCCAGAAGTAGTAACTACTGCAGGAGAGAAGGAGCTAGGCTGCTTCTCCAGGGCCCTGGGGGGAACTGCTCCAAAGGAACTGTCTGGAAGCATCTCTGGAACCATTCTGGAAAGGGCCAAGCCTGGTAGAAAATGGTATTCCGGTCAAGAGAGAAGAATGAAGACCAGCAGCCTGGCTGAAGGAGATAGGTAAGCTTGCTTCTGTATATATAGACCTGGCACTCTAGTGGGTTACGTGTCGGTCTGCTAGCCACAAGGGCAGGCAGTTTGAATCTACCAGTTGCTCAGTGGGAGAAAGTTGAGGCTTGAAACCAACTACTTGGCACCTAAGAGCAGTAACAGTACACATCAGTTGGGCTTCTTGGCCCTGTGTCTTATTCTCACACCCTTTGCTTCTGGGAAAGAAGGAGGGGAACTTGTTTCTGCTCTAAAGGATTCCCCACTTAGGGAAATGCTACTTAGAAATGTCTTCCAAGATAATTAACTAATTTCTGAATAAGGGAAGGGAAGAGACAGGAGATAAGATAACGATGCTGTTGTTGCATTGTAATCCCACAAGGGGGCAGCATTAGCACTGTGAACAGCACATTGGTAAGGGGAGAAAAACCAAGTTTCAGCTCTGGGAGGAAAAATGTTGTTAGATGCTATAGAGTCAGTACCAACTCATAGTGACCTTATGCACAGCAGAACGAAACACTGCCCAGTCCTGAGCCAACATCACTATTGTTGCCACACTTGAGTCCTTAGATACTGCCACTTGGCCAATCCATCTTGTTGGGGGTCTTCGTCTTTTTCTCTGACCCTCCACCCTACCAAACATGATATCCTTCTCCAGCTGACAATATGCCCAAAGTATGAGAGATGAAGTTTGGCCATCTTGGCCTCCAAGGAGCACTCTGGCTGCACTTCTTCCAACACAGATTTTTTAGTTCTTTTGGCAGTCCATGGCACTTCCAATATGATATTAATAGTTGCAGATATGTGGAGTCCTTAGATTGTACCAGGCACCATGCAGACTGTGCAAAATTTCATGTTTGTAAAACCAAAAGCCAAATCCACTGCCATCAAGTCAATTCTGACTCAGTGTTGGTAAGTCAGTTCCAACTCATAGTGACCTTGTATAGAGTTTCAGAGGAGCAGGCTGGTGAGTTTGAACCATCAACCTTGAGGTCGAATGCTTACTCTATACCATACCAGGACTTCCAGAGATCCTGTGTAGGGTTCCCAAGGCTGTAAATCTTTACAGGAGCAGAAAGCCTCATCTTTCTCCTGCTGAACGGTTGGTAGGTTTGAACTGCTGACCTGCAGTTAACAGTCCAGTGCTTATACTAAAGCACCACCAGAGTTCCTTTGTTGTTAAGTATCCCGACGCATGGCGATCCTATATAGGGGTTTCCAAGGAGCTGCTGATGGGTTTGAACTGCTGAAGTTGTGGTTTTCTGTCCAGTGCTTATCTTACAGCACCACACCAAGAATCCTGTCCGTTCCTTATACATTTTTTATTTAGCCCTGTTGCTGTTGTATAGTTGGGCAGCTTGTTCTCAGCACAAGACGGTCACACAGAGGACCACACAGAGAAAGAAATATCTTATTCCACTTGGAACAAAGACAATAGCCACTCCTCAGCCAGTGCACTTTGGTGCAGGACGGAGCTGGCATTGAATGGGTTCCTTTTTCTAATTTGCACAGAGGTACCACCTGAGCTAGTCTCTGTCCTGAAGCCAAATATTATGGTTGACTTCACTGTATGGGGTTAAGAAACTTGCTTGAGCCTCACAGTAAGAAAGGGGTGGAAGTAGAATCCTTCAAGGCAGGACCTAAAGGTCCAGGAGACATTTGGGGTGTTGGGGGGTCAACACCCATACTTGAGGCCAGTTTCGTGAAAGTGAAAGATAGTGAAGAAACAAATACTTGGGTGTCTGTTCTGACAAGCTGAAGAGCAGGAAGCAGCCTTGTCCCTCCACTAAGACCATGAACATTGCACGGTAGCTGCACTAATAGGTTTATGCAAAGCATTTCTTCATGCATGAATGTCCACAATGGCAAGGATTTGTGTCCGTGTGTGGTTGTTTTATTCATTGGCATTATACCCAGTACCTAAAGAGATCCTGGCATACAGTAGGTACTAAATAAACAAATAAATATTTGCTGAATGAACAATTGTTCATAACAACCTTCCAAAGTAAGTTCTATTACTCCGATTTTATATATATGGAAATGAACATACCAAGGAAATTAAATAACTTGCCAGAGACTCTACAGAGACTGTAAACCAGCTCCACCTCCATGCAATGGTAAGGCCAGAGAAAGCCAGTAAAAGACTAAAGGCTTGTCTGAGCAACCCTGCTGCCCCTCCCAGAGTGCCAAGGACTATTCACTATGTCCAGTGCTGCAGAACACCGGCTGGGCGCTGGCCCACTTCTCCCAACTACTTCTCCTGGGGAGCTCATAAAACCTGCGTGAGCCCTATACATCCATCACATCAAATCTATGAACCAGTAATGTTTATGCCAGTGGGGGCTTTGGTCTCTGTATTACTAGTGATATTGCCTGTTCTCTACCACCCAATTCCCCCGATCTCCAGCATCGCTAAATGGAAGCACAATGAGGGGTCATATTTACTGCTTTGCTTCGCTGTTGTATTTTCAGCAAACTGAGATACATTTGTTGTTGTTGTTAAGTACCGTGGAGTCGGTTCCTACTCATAGCGACCCTGTACAGGGTTTCCGAGGCTGTAAATCTTAACGGGAGCAGAAAGCCTCATCTTTCTCCCATGGAACAGCTGGTAGTTTCGAACTGCATTTACAGTCCAGTAAATTTTATTAAAATTAATTCAACTGCACACTTAAAATATACGTATTCGAAAATCCACCCATTTTAACTATACACTTTAAAATGGGTGGATTTTCGAATACGTGTATTTTAAGTATACAGTTGAATTAATTTTAATAAAATTTACTGGATTGTACAACCATCAACATAATCCAATTCGAGAATATTTTTATCACCCCAATAAAAACCTTCATGTTTATACACAGTTAAGCCCAGTCCCAGTCTTAGAAAATCACTAATCTACTTTCTGTCTCTATAGACTTTCTGGGCATTTCATATCAATGTTGTTGTTGTTGTTAAATGCCGTCAAGTCGGTTCCAACTCATATTGACCCGGTATAGGGTTTCTGAAGAGCAGTTGGTGGGTTTGAACTGCTGACCTTGTGGTTCATAGTCCAGTGCTGATTCTACAGTGCCATACCAGGAGTCCAATTTACATCTTATAATTCACAAATGAACAAAGCAAAAATATTTGATGCACACATACAAAACAAAAAATATATATTCATTTAAATGTCCAAAGGGCACATCACATTCTGTAAGCCAGCTTCCTGCCTGCAGGCAACCAGCCTTTCTCAGTCCATGTGCCTAGAGCCCGCAGCTGCTCTGTCTCTCCATGCCACTGTCTCTGCCACCGTCTCTGCTGGCACCGCTTTTCTAGGTAGGGATCTCATGCTCCATTCATGCTCTTCCTTCTTGATGGTCCTGAGATCATCTGTTCCGGAAATGAAACATTAACGACTCCTGCCCCTTTTAGTTATACATTTTCTACAATTACAGTTATGACAACTACAATTAAACCTGCTAATAATTACTCACAATTAAATTATAAAATCCTATCAGCATCATCCCCCACCGCCTTTCCCCAGACCCCTCTGGAAAAGAGGAAAACTATTCAGTGAGGATTCTACCATATGCCCTTCATTCTGAAACTAAGCACACCCATGGAAGCTTGTAAGACAACCACTTCATGTCTTTATAACCCTCCCCCCCCCCCATTTTTGATAGCCAATGTCTAAATTATCCATCCCTACCAACCCAGTCCTGGTGTGGCACCGTGGGTTAATGCGCTGGACTACAAAGTCAGTTTGAACTGCAAGGTCAGCAGTTCAAGCTCACCAGTCACTCCTCGGAAACCCTATAAAGATCGCTATGGGTCAGAACTGACTCGATGGCACTTGACCTCAAAAACAACATCAACCCAGTATACTGAAGAGAGACAAGCAGTTTCCTTGATCTGAAGAATCTTCTATTCTGGTTGAAATTTTGAGCAACTGTTTCATAAAATTGTGGGGTCTTTATGTCTGGCATTATTCACTTGTTGTTTAGTGCCATCAAGTTGGTTCTGACTCATATAACAACCCTGTATAGACAGGGTTTCTAAGGAGTGACTGGTGGGTTTGAACCCTGATCTTTCAGTTAGTAGTTCAGTGCTTATCCAACAGCTCTGCACCAGGACTCTACCATAATATTTTCCAAGTTCTTCCATATTACAGCAAAAGTACTGTGGCTGTATAGTATAAGCACTGGACTACTAACCCCAAGGCCAGAAGTTCTAGCTTATCAGCTTTTACTGCGAAGATTTCCAGCCTCATAAACCCTATATAAGGAGCTCTGGTAGCATAGTGGTTGTGAATGGGGCTGTGAACCTTAAGGTCAGCAGTTCGAAACTACCAGCTGTTCCGTGGGAGAAAGATGAGACCTTTTGCTCCCCTAAAGACTTACAGCCTTGGAAACCCTGTACAAGGTCGCTATGAGTCAGAACTGACTCAACGACACTTAACCACATTGTAGCATGTATTGGTATTTCACCCCTTTTGAGTGTTGGATGAATATCCTCTGGAGGGATATACCACATTTTGTTCATCCATTTACCAGTTGATGATTCTGTTTTTGTTTTGTTTTTTACTATTCTGAATAATGCTGTTATGAACATTTATAAGCAAGTCTTTATGTGAGCATACATTTTCATTTCATTGAGTCTTTCAGGTAGATACTAAGAGTGGATTTACTGAGTCACATGGTAAATTGATGTTAAGCTTTTAAGAAATTTCCAGACCACCACTTAACATTTCCATCAACAGTGCATGAGCCTTCCAGTTTCTCCACATTCTCATTAGCACTTGCTATTGTTAGAAACCGCATACAGGGTCGGTCGCTGGGAGTCAGAAATGACTCGATGGCACTTAATAACAGTTGTCTGACTTCTTGCTGTCAGTCATTCTAAGACAAAAGAACACAAGCATAAAAACAATGCCACACCAAAAAGTTGATTCTAATTTATAACAATCCTATATAGGGTTTCCAAGATTATGAAATTTTTATGAATGCAGACAACCTCATCTTCCTCCCGCAGAGCAGCTGGTGGGTTTGAACCATATGGATAGCAGTCCAATGCCTAATCAGTACCATCACCAGGGCTTGGATATGAAATGGCATCTCATTGTGCTCCATAAATATTTGAATAAATAAATTGTCTCTAATGGAGTCCTGCTGTGGCACTGTGGGCTAATGCATCAGACTGTAAACTCATTTGAACTGCAAGGTCGGTGGTTCAAGCTCACCAGCTGCTCCTTGGAAACCCTATACAGGGTCGCTATGCATTGGAATCGACTCGATGGCACTTAACAACAACAACAACAACAACAAATGCTAGCCCAGAGTCCTGGTGTGGAGCTGTAGGATAAGCATTGGATTGCTAACAACAAGGTCAAACTCACCACCTGCTCCTTGGAAACGGGTCGGAACCAAGTCAGTGGCACTTAACAACAACAACATGCTAACTCTGGTGGCATTGTAGAATAAGCACTGGACTGCTAACTGCAAGGTCGGCAGTTCAAACCCACCAACCGCTCCTCAGAAGCCCTATACTGGGTCGCTTTGAGTCAGAACCAAATTGATGGCACTTCACACCAACAGCAAAAAGTAACTGACATCACCATTGCCACCATTATTATTATGATTACCATTAGCAGTAATAATGGAGTTCTGGTGTGGCAATGTGGGACAAACTAACCCCAAGGCCAGCACTTCAAACCCACTAGTTGTTCCTTGGAAACCCTAACGTGACTGCTATGAGTTGCAACCGACTCAAGGATACTTAACAACAACAATATCAGTAATAACAGTAGTACTTTGACTCTAGAGGCAAGCCCACACCAGTGACTGGGACAATGGATGCTGCCATCTTTGAGCGCTCACCACGTATGAGGTTGTGTCCAATGCCTTGTATTGATATGTGTGGATGCTTCAACCTACACCACAGCAATCCACGCTGATTATCCCCTTTGGAAACTAAGGCACAGATACTTGAGTCTTGATCCGAATCAAAAGTAAGTGATGACAAAGCCATCATTGAACCCACACCTTCCGGTTCCAGAGCGCATGCTCTTAGAGTCACTCCATTGTACTTCCTGCCCTTACAAAGCCAACTGGATGAGCACCACCCAGATGAATTTCAAGAGGAGGCTCAGGGAGGAGAAATTAAGTCTGTTCTGGTGCGATTCAGCCTTCCCATCTGAGGCCACCCAAAGAGCAGGACCACAGTTGTGGAATTTGCTCCTCTTTTTTGCATATTGACACAGCTCTGGCAGAGACGCTAAAGGCATCTTTTGTGCTGCTGCTTAACAGTGAGTGACGTCATGGACCTTTATCAGTTCTACCAGAGATCTAGCTGACCACACTTGTCCTAAATGAGATAAGCAAGGTGCTGGGCGCAGAGCACTTGGGTTCTCCATTAATCAGGTGAGCGTGGGGCCCTGAGTTGGTGTGTGGAGGAGCAGTTGAATGACTAGGTTCAGCACCTTGGTGCTTTCTTTCTGGGGAAAGGGACAGGAGACAGGGAATAATCAGAAAGACAGACAGCTGACTTCACTGGGGAAGTCTGCATGGGATACTTTGGGTGGGGGTGATGGGGTGACAGTGTTCCTAGTTGAGATGCTGTTGGCGAGGGTGGAGGAGAGCCCCCACAGACAATCATCTCTGCCTCTCTATCCTGACAGTGACCATGACCATGAACGCAACCTCAAGCCAGACCTTCTTCCCTGGCCACCATTGGCTCTACTTCTCTGTGTACCTCTTCACCTTCCTCGTGGGACTCCCGCTCAACCTGATGTCCCTTGTGATCTTCGTGGACAAGCTGCGGCGTCACCCGGTAGCTGTGGATGTGCTCTTGCTCAACCTGACCCTCTCGGACCTTCTTCTGCTGTTCTTCCTGCCGTTCCGCATGGTGGAGGCTGCCAACGGCATGCTCTGGCCCCTGCCTTCCATGCTCTGTCCTCTCTCCGGATTCCTCTTCTTCACCACCATCTACCTCACCTCCCTCTTCCTGGCAGCTGTGAGCATCGAGCGCTTCCTGGGCGTAGCCTACCCTCTATGGTACAAGAGCTGGCCAAGGCTAAGACAGACCAGTCTAATCAGTGGGATCTGCTGGCTCTTGGCTGCTGGCCACTGCAGTGTGGTCTATGTCACTGAATTATCTGGGGACCCCATAAAGAAGTCACATGCCAATGGAACCTGCTACCTGGAGTTCGAGGAGTCCCAGCTGAAGGTTCTCTTGCCTGTCCGACTGGAGATGGCTGTGGTGCTTTTTGTCGTGCCCCTGCTCATCACCATTTACTGCTATAGTCGCCTGCTGTGGATCCTCAGCAGAAGCTCCAGTCATCACCGGCGGAGGAGGGTGGCAGGCCTTGTGACAGCCACATTGCTCAACTTCCTTGTCTGCTTCGGGCCCTACAATGTGTCTCATGTAGTGGGCTTTGTCCAGGGTAAAAGCCCAGCATGGAGAGGTTTTGTGTTGCTTCTCAGCACCTTGAACTCCTGCATCGACCCCCTTGTCTACTACTTCTCATCATCTGGATTCCAAGCTGAATTTCAGGGGCTACTGAAAAGGATGGCAGGGGCCTGGAGCCCTTGCAGGCTGAAGCAGAATATGGAACTAGAAGTGAGGCAGAAAGACGAGTCACAGCTACAGGAATCGTCTAAGGTAGAAAATTGGTAGTGGACTCTAGAGAGGCTGTGAAATTGGTTGACCAGCCAGCCGCCTGGGCTGAAATCTGTGTGTTGTTGAGGCAGGAAGGTGCAGCTGATGAATCATTCCCAACAGAGTTCTTTTCTCAAGTCAAGCAGGACCTTGGTGTGGCAGGCTAGAAACTGATGTGACCCAGGGGCCAACCACACACTCAGTTTTTCTAAGAATGTGCTTACCAAGGAGCCAACTCTTGATCTCACCACACCACACTCTCTCCTGTGCTTTCACATTAATAATTCCGCCTGGCGCCTGGGAAGCATTTAGGGTGAGAGACAGTTGTGGAGGCAAACAAGTTCTCCATGGTAGCTGCCAGCTTTTGTGATTTACTGAGGGAAGAGAAGGAGTTAAGAGAAGTGAGCAGAGTCAGAGGTTTGGGACAGGGGACAGAAAACCCCAGTCTCAGAGCTGCTCCTACTAACAAGTGAGGATTAGGGAAAACAGGGTGGACAGCTATTTCAGGACTCCATGTGTGAGGACAAGTCCTGCTCTTGCATGCGTTTACCCAAGAGGGTTCTGTTGCTTAATAAATTCAGATCTTTAGGGACATTTATGAAAAATGGCAGAAGAAAAATCACTCAAATAAATTTGATAGCAAGCAAAAGAGAATGGTCTTTGCTGATTCTTTTTTTTCTCCATTTAAAAAAAACAAAAAAACAAAACAACACTTTTTATTGTGAAGTGAGTGGAAGCTTACAGAGCCAGGTCATCAGTTCGATATTCAAGAAATCACACACCTTGTTTCATCTCAATGATTGCAATCCCCTCCAGGTAACATCACTTACCCACTTCCTCCCTGGGTTTCCGTTTTCCATTCCACCTCCTTTCCCCACCCTTCTGAATTGAGTCCTTAGGTAAATGCTGCCTTTTAAAACTCAAATACATTCTACAGCATGCATGTCTCACAAGTCATGCACATCCCCCTGGGGACTTATCTGCTGACTGGTGGAAAATTGAGCCACAAGGATGAGTTCAGATCCAGACCTAAAGAGTTACTAAGACTCTTAGTCTTGGGGATCTATCCAACTTTATCTGATCAGTAGGCCTGGTATCTCTCACTTCTCTCTTTCTCTTCTTCTTCTCCTCCTCCTCCTCCTCCTCTTCTTCTTCGTCTTCTTCTCCTTCTCTTTTTTTTTTTTTAATAATTTTGACTTTTGTTCCACATTTCCTCCTTTTGGGACCTTCTCATGTTATCCTTTTCACAGCAGTAGTGGTAGCCGGGCACCATCTATTTCTGGTCTCAGCATCATGTGGACTAATGTTCACGTGGTCCATTAGTTCATTGGACTAATTGTTTCCAAGTGTCTTCAATTCTCATCGCTCTTCTTTCCTCCGCACAGGGAGAGACCAATGGTTGCATCTTAGATAGCTGCTCATGAGCTTTTAAGATCCCAGTCGCTGCTCACCAAAGTAGGATGCTGTCTATGTTATGCCAATTGGCCATGGTGTCCCCCAAGGCTATGGTTCTGAGCCCCCAGGTCCAGCAACTAATTCCCTCAAGATTTTTGTACATGTCTAAGAAGTTTTCATGATTTTGCCCCTGTACACACCAGTGCTTATCCTATAGCATCCAGGTGGGGAAGTGTAGGATAAGCACTAGATGGCAAGATCAGTTTGAAATTCAAGGCCAGCAGTTCAAACCCACCAGCCATCCTCCATAACCATATACAGGGTCACTAAGAGTCAGAACCAGCTTGACAGCACTTGGGCTAATGTGTCAGACTGCAAAGTCATTTGAACTGCAAAGTTGGTGGTTCAAGCTCACCAGCTGCTCTTTGGAAAACCTATACAGGGTTGCTATGGGTCGGAATCGACTCGACTGCACTTACCAACAACAGCAACACTCTAGTGCTTATCCTACAGCATCCAGGTGGGGAACTGTAAGATAAGCACTAGACTGCAAGATCAGTTTGAAGTTCAAGGCCAGCCATTCAAACACACCAGCCACCCTCCAAAACCCTATACAGGGTCACTAAGAGTCAGAGCCAGCTTGACAGTACAGCAACAACATTCTACCACACTCATGGATATGTTTGCAACAAATACCCTCTGCCAAACCCACCTACACCTGTGTAGCCTGTGTATTTATCTATGTGTCTATTGTTGTTGTTGTTGTTAAGTGCTGTTGAGTCAGTTCCAATCCATAGCAACCCTCTAGAGGGTTTCCAAGGAGTGGCTGGTGAGCTTGAATCACCGACCTTGTGGTCCAAGCCGACTTTGCAGTCTACCACATTAACCCACAACGCCACACCAGGACTCCGTGTCTACCCATGGTTGTTGGTGGTTATGTGCTGTGGAGTTGGTTTAGACTCATATTGACCCTGTACAGAGTTTCTGAGGCTGTAAATCTTTATGGGAGCAGAAAGCCCCATCTTTCTCACACGGAACAGCTGGTAGTTTAGAATTGCTGACCCTGAGGTTTGCAGCCCGATTCGTAACCACTACGCTACCAGAGCTCCTTTTTGTCTGCCGTAGGTTACCATAGGTTGCCGTTATTGCAGGATGGTGTATAGAACAGCATTTACCTCTGTTCCCTTAACTCTTGCACGCCCCCTTCTGTCAACCCTTGCCATCATCATTGTTTTTTAATCATTATAAATAGTCTTAGTGTCTAGTAACATTTAAAAAACCTTTTTATTGTGACTTGAGCAAAGGTTTACAGAGCACATCATCAGTTTTACATTCAATAAATCATATACTTTGCTTCATTACAATGACTGCAATCCCCTCCATGTACCATAGGTGAAGAGTATTTATCCCTACTTTAACTCTTGCATTCTTCCTTGTGGAGTACTGGTGTGGCACTGTGGGTTAATGCACTGGGCTGCAAAGTTGGTTTGAACCACAAGGTCAGTGGTTCAAGCTTACCAGCTGCTCCTCACCTGCTCCTTGGAAATCCTATACAGGGTTGCTATGAGTCGGAATCGACTCAACGACACTTAACAATGATAACATTCCATTTCAATGACCTTTCTCCCAGTATGATGTTCTTCATGTCATCCCACAGTTCTTCTGGTCATCCATCATTAGTGTCTAATGCATCAAATTGAGATGTTCTTTAAATTCAGGTGAGATACATTCAGGGTCATGTTTTGACTCCCGTGGACTTATTTTAATTTTCTTCAGCTTCAGCCTGAACTTCTATATGAGTAACTGATCCTCTGTTCCACAGTCTGACCCTGGTCTGGTTTTGACTGATGATATTGAGCTTTTCCAATGTATTTTCCCACAGACATAGTCAATTTGATTCCTGTGTTTTCCATCTGGTAAGGGCCATGTGTATAATCACCTTTTATATTGTTTTAAAAGGTATCTGCATTGATCATGCAAAATTCTATCATGTGAGCGTCAGCATTATTCCTACCACCAACACTGTATTTTCCGACTACTGATATTGCCTCTTTGTTTCCAACCTTCACATTCCAGTCACAGGTAATTGTCAGTACATCTTGATTGCAAGTTGGGTCCATTTCTAACTGAAGAAGTTGATAGAATTCTTCAGTTTCATCATGGCTTTAGTGGTTGGTGCATAAATTTGAATAATAGTGATATTAAGTTGTCTTCCTTATAGATTATCCTATCACAGACAGCATTGCACTTCAAGACAGATCTTGAAATGTTCTTTTTGATGATGAATGCTACACCATTTCTCTTGAAAGTGTTCTTCCTGGCATAGTAAACCATATGATTGTCAATTTCAAAATAGCCAATATGAGTTCATTTCAACTCAGTAATGCCTAGGATACTGATCCTTATGCATCCCATTTCATTTGTTGTGTTCATGTTTACTAAATCTTTCTGATGTTCTTCTTTTGTATTTTGATGTGAAGATGCATTAACTTTTTTTGAGATTGCTCTCTAATTTATTAAATTTCCCCCATTTGATCTTGAAATTTACTTGATTTCCTCGCCATTTGGAAGTTCTGAATCTATACAGTTCCCTCTGTGTTTTGTAGCTAACTTCATTATAAATTGTTGATCTCTGGTTCCCTAGTTTCAGTCTTGTAAGTTTATTTGACTTTAAATTCTTATACATCAGGATTGAGTTCTGGGTGGTGCTGTCATGTATAGTAATCCCAGGTTGTCTCCTGTTGTGGGCTCTCAGTTCAAAGAACACCTTTTAGCATTTTTTTTTGTAAAGTTGGACTGGTTATTACAAATTCCATTAATTTCTATTTATCTGGAAATGTCCTAATTTTGTCACTGTATTTGAGGGGTAACTTTGCTGGGTGTGTATGATTCTTATTTCAGAGGGAAAGGGAACAGGGTGCTATAAATGAGATGTCCTGTATAACATTCTGAGCAGTCCCTGAATTGGAAATGAGGATCCAAAGCTGAAGATAAAGAGAAGTTGAAAACACCACATTCTAAAGAGATCAAAATAGCAGTAGTCTCCCCTCCCCTTCCCCAAACTTATTAAGATGAAAAAGTAGAAACTTCATTGGATTTCCTGTCCCAACCATTACCCAGCATCATACTCATCCCACTTAAAAGTAAAAGACGTAAGGAAATGGGGAGGATGATAAGTCACCAGGGACTGGGACAACCATCTGGATGGAATTGGTTGGTAAGGGGAGCTGGAGATTTTCCCATATCTCAGGGAAGAGGAGACACATCTCTCTGATTTGTTGCCTATGACTATCTAGGTAGAGGGAAGGAGAACAGGAGTGTATGACTGGTAGAGAACTCTGTACTCTCACCAATGGCAAAGCAATCACACTATGAGTCTCCCATGGGTAAGGGGATACAGGCAAAGGCAGAAGAGGCCACATCAGGATTGGATTTCCCCAGACAGGAACCAGAACTCACATTCTAGCTGCAAAAGACAGCCAGTACTTGGGCATTTGGCTCTCAGAGAATGCCAAAAGCTACTAGTTCAAATATTATTGCTCAACTTTTTTTCCCATTATTTTTTCCTCAAAGAGGTTTATAAACTTTTTTTTTTTCTCCCCTGCTCACCACTCCTTTCTCAT